TTGTGTCTAGCAGGAAAGTGCAGGTGTTTGACGATGTCTGCATAATATAATCCTGTATGGGTTAGAGATGTTGGATTTAATTTACCTCCATGGTATCATATTGCTCTGTTGAGCAAAGGCTTTTGATTAAGCTAGTGTTTAAACATGGGGTTTCTTTGTTTTCCATCCTTAGTTGCCAAGATATGGTAACATGAGTAAGACATGATGAATATGGTTTTGCACTTTGAGGTCCATATGACTAGGCTGTATTTTAAAGAAAGATTTAACAACTTCTATTGCAAGTGTGTTTTCTTTTCAATTTTGCTTTAGATTTCGTTCTGATACTAGCTTAGATAAGCCCTTGATTGTCTCTGTGGTATTCACTGATGTTTGTCTCTCTTGGCATATCTTTCCAAACAAGTCTTTCTGAAAGTAATAGGGCTTTCCTATTTTTGACTTTCCAAGCAAAAAAAATGTGACCTCTGTAGTTGGCTGTGTGATCTCTGCCCAATCCTTGCATTGCTTATAACCAGTCCGTTTTGATCTGGGAGAGGGTCTTGTCCTTTATCAGAAGATTTTTTCTGCCTGCTTGGCTTGCTGTTGCTGTGATAACTTTTTGTTAGCTTTATATTTCTTTATTACTTCTTTAATATGTTTCCTTATGGATATAATTTCATGAGATGAGCTTGGGTCATGTGTCAGTCTTAAAGACTGTGAAGATATGTGTGCCCTATTTTCCTGCTAAAAATAAGGAGGAACCTACTCTTTTTCTGTGTGATTTTGCATGTGGTTGGTGTTCTTTTGAAACCATGCTTCTTTGAAAATTTTGTACTTCTTTATGTTATGCATACCCTTTCCATTTAGAGACTAGACATTTCATTTTCAGATTTCATGCATTCATTTATTCTTTGTGAAGACTGATCTGCTATGTCAAGCCCATTAAGCCATTCTCTTTTATTTTTGCATGGATATGAATATCATATTTCTTTTTAAGAGTGAGAACTCGTAATTTTAAAGGGACTTGGACAAATGCAACATTGGAAAATACACATAGAAGAATTTCAATTTGAAAACAGTTGCATCTAATTTTTCTTGCCTTTAATCTTTCATGTGTAGGACTTAACAGAAGGCCTGGCAAAGGGCTTCATTTTGTATTTACTGGGTGGTGTGCCCTACGTGTACAGCCCTCCAGAGCCTTTATAGTTATTTCATGAACATTTTGAAATTTGTAAGTAGTAATATCTCTCAGCTTTGTAAACTGATATTTGATATGACAGTATGGAATGAAACCTGCAAAAGTGTTTGGGGAAAAAATATGGGCAAAAGAGAGTTGAAGGAGGCTTAGGTGAGAGCCTGACACTCAGAAACGTAAACCTCCTCATTTCTGAAGCAGGGAATTCCTGCATGTTTCCGTATCAGAGAGTTCTTCAGCATTGCTAATTTCTGTGTAAGTACATTTTTAGAAATGAAGAACCTATGAAATTCCAACCCCCACCTGCTTTATGTAGTGAAATGTATTATTTCACTTTGTATTATTACTCTTCTAACCTCTTTTGGGAATCTTGCCTATGACTACTGCTTATTGTAATAGTTTTGCTTAAGCACAGCAGAAGGGCCACGTTTTATAGCAATGTTACTATCACTCAGGGCATTTTATTGTGATAATTGAGTTGTTTTAGGGGAATTAAACTACTATTATTTTTAGCTTAGGTAGCATAAAGAAGATAGATGATAAATAAACCAGGCATCAGTATTTTAAAAGAGGTATTGTTCTAGTTTGCTAAAAGCAGTAAACATTTAACTCCTGCTTCTGAAATTGTCGTGTATACAGAGCATGAGAGAAAAACTTGCTAGTGTTTTCATTCTTGCTGTCCAGCCGTTTAATTTAGAATGAACCCTTTCTGTTCTTGGCACATAAAATAATTGTGAAATAACTGAGATTTGTGAAGAAAGGTATAGTGCAATATAGTCTGGAAGAAATGAGCAGGAGGTTTGTCTGGGGTTAATTCTGGAAAACTAAGAGATGTCATCAAAATATCAAGCTGATATATTTAGAAGCATTTTCCTTTTAGATCTGCTTTTAGATAAGAAATTATCTGGAAGTTGGTAAAACATGGTGGTTTTCCTTAGTGCCAGGAGCTAAGGAAACTAATCCAGGAACTGGTTGGTACTCTGCACTCTTACAAATTGAGTTGATAATCCCAGTCTTAAGTATTTTAAGTATTTAAGCTACAGAAGAAACAATTATTTATAATGTGAACTATAAATAATCATTTTAGTGAGGTAGTTGTTTTGTTGAATGAATGTTCTTTTGTGTTCTGTCATCTAAGTCTTGAAGCCTGGAATTATAAAAGGTCACCTAAATGTTTTAGGGCAGTATAAGTATTTTGGACTACTCCTGAAGCTTTGTGTCATCATGCTCCTGCTTTTATTCCGGGGTCTTTTGGATCTCATTGAACAATTTTCTAAAAGTAATCACTACTGTTTCAGAAACTGCTTTGGCTAATTTCTGAGCTGTTCAAGGTGAATTTCATTAGATGCTGTTGTCCTGAATGCTTATAACTTTTCAGAGTTGTCTATAACCCGTTCTAACATCTGACTCTGTCTTTTCTACCATCTTCAAGTGAAAACACAGAATATACTGAATATCTGTATCCCTCATTGCTTGCTTTCCTGTTACATGGCAGCGCTCTCTCATCTCCTGCTTGCTCCTAATACGTATGGAGGAAATTTTATGCCTGTAAGCTGGAACACATTTTGTACCTTAGCCTTTTTTAACTTAACACTTCGTGTTTTTGCTGTTCTGTCATTCTAATATTATGCTACTTTTTTCTGCATCTACTTTTGCACCTTTAATTGGTTATCTTGACAGTTTTTGTGTCATTCCTTTACTTCTTTGCCTCTCAGTTTCTTGAGTTCATGGAAACTTCTGCTCTGATTTCCTCAGAGGAAATTCTAACACTCTCTTTTCACTTCTGTCCCAATTGTCTCTGTTATTAAAAACTTAGTCCTTGCAGCTGATCAGAAACAAAAGAATACCTTTTCTTCACTTCCTGAAACAAAGCGTGACTCTCACTACATCTTGGGATTTTTAAGCTAATGACCTGGCTATCTGTTGAAAGAACAGTGTATCAGGATGTACTCATCCCTCTACAGGCCTGTCTCTTGCCTTTGCCAGCCAGCCCTGACCTCGCAGTTATTCAGCAATACAGTCTCCACCTTTTTTCCTCTTTTGTTTGAAAGTCTTGACACAGCTTCCGTTTTTCTTCTCTTTGATTTCCACACTCTGTGTTCAACAAGTCTGAACTTTGGAATGAGACAGAGTGCATTGCTCTCGGAACAGGTTTCCCCTTTTAAAGGCGCATTCCTGTCTCTTTTATGTCCCTGCATGTCTACAGTGCCAGACTGATGCCAAATCTAATATGGGCCATGTAGAAAGACTTGTATTCTTCCTGTTTTAAAAACACAGCAGGTCCCATGTGATCAAAGATCCACACAGTCTGGAGGCTTGTCTGAAGGAAAAGTAAAGGAATGCCTAAAGGAAGAATAGATCAAGTAGATGGTAATGCTTCCCTCATAGACTTTTCCAGCTTTCCATAAATAAGTCTATGACTTATCTATTATGTACAACTGTAGTTTATATTCATGGCTGTTTGGTAGGTAGCCCGTTATTCTTCCCTATTATTTTTCTTATAACAGTTGCAGTTTCTATTCTAATCTTGGGGTGGTTCACTTTTTTGTTGTGTTTTGGGGTTTTTTTTAATAACTTTTAAAATCTTACAATTTCATTAGTCCTTCTTTAGCTGATAGATTATTAGTTTCTTCCTAGTATATTCAGAAACAAAATAAAATCATGTTAGGAAATGTCTTTTACTTTCTGTGTTGCTGAGAACTGTTTTGTTTGTTTGTTTGTTTTTTAAGCCTGTCTAAAAGAAACATAACTGTGGAGTTACACTGTTCCTGCCAAGTTTCCACTAAAAGCAGGTTATTACTGAGTAACTGTAAACTATTGAAAAAAAACATTTGTAATGGAAGCAGTGACGGTTTAACTGTAATGCCTGCTGGCACTTTCAAACAGCGTAGCTTTTCCATCTCCTGACTCTCAGACTTCCTGAGTACCAGTTCCTTGCTGCTGGGTTGCTTTAGTCATCGCTGTATATATAGTGCCTTCAGCAACACTGTTGTTCATGCTACAAATATGTTACTCAGGGTGGTTCAATGGAGTGGTTTTTCTAGCCTGATGCTCAAAACAAACGTAAACCTAAATCAGTGGCTTCCTTTTCGGTTTTGGTGGCATACACTTCTCAGCAGCATCCACGTTATGACTGGTGTAGAAAACAGTTAAAGAGAAGCTGCACTATTTTCACTAGAGGAGCAGTAAAAACATCTTGATTTGAGTGAATGGTAGTACATATAAATAGATGCAATTTGAAATCTGTCCAACTTTCTAAATCGCTTGAGTATTTTCAGGTCCCACATCTATGCTATTTCCTGTCATTTTCTTGCATTAGTCATTTTTCCACGTTTCCTTTCTCTCCTCAGTTATGGGAAAAAGAAGGAAGCAACAAAGCTGTCAGAGAATGTGAATGAAGAGAGGTGATCAGCTTTCTATAGTTTGTTCCTGCACAGAAATGAGTTTTAGGTAGGCGTGTGGCCCTTCAACTGTAGTGCTAGTCCCCAGCTGGAGGCATCACATAGTTTTCAGTGCTCATTTTGAGTTGTTGAACACCATCATCTGTCCAACCTCAAGTGAGCAATCTTTCCTAGCTTTGTAATCATTAACTTTGCAACAGCTTTGATTTCTTTAAAATAACACTACTCAAAATCTTTGTCACCTGTATTAAGTAGATGCCTTCTGAATGCCTGTGCTTTGCAGTGCTAGGAATTATTGTCACCTAACATGTCTTGGTTTCAGTAACTGTTTCTGAAGCCTGTTTTTTTAGGAATACGTGCAGCAGTTTACTTCTGTGTATGTTCCATAACACACATCTAAAATTGTTATGTTTTTTGTTTCAGAAGTACTATGGAACCTCCGCAACCCTGTAGGCTTGGAAGGCTTAAATCCACCTTTGGAGAGGCCTTTTCCATTCCAAATGATTTGCTGGCTTAAGCGCTTAATTAGGATGGCTTTAGAACAAGTGGGATTAAACATGGAATCGGTAAGTGTTTCAAATGTGCTTTTATGTTTTCAGAGAATCAGGTACAGAAAGCATTTCATATATTTTGGTTTGTGCTTTCCTATTCCAGCAGAACACTCTGAGTATACTCAATACTTGTATGATTCTGCATTGCTGAAAAAGTATGAAGTTTACTACTTGGACACTGAAGTACTGAGTAATAGGTGTGTTAAAAATACTTTGCAGTTCCTTCTAGCTCTAGTAACAGACTGTTTACATTGTAAACACTGCTTTTCATGCTGGACTGCTATGTATGTTTTGAAGCTGAAGGAAAATTTTCAACTGATTTTTAACAGTGATATTAATTCTTAAATAGTCTTATTTATTTGCTCTTATCTTGGAGATACGAGAAGCCACATGCAACTGGGATGATGATAATTGTGCTATACTTACCTCTTCTGAAAGTGTTACAGTGCATGAGAGCAACATGACTGTATTCTTTACTGGGGAAACAGAAGAATGTGCATGCATAGCTCTCCTCTTGGAGGAAAGTGTATATAGAGTTTTTTTGAATACCCAGCAGAGAGAGGGAGAGATCTGCTACACATCAACTGCTTTGTCACTGGGACATTTAGGACGCTATTTTGAGTAGAAGTATTGACCTCAATGCAGTAATCCCTGTAATTTGTTGAAATATTTTAGAGTTTTAACAATGGGGAAATCCTTAAGAACTATGTGCAGTACTTAGAAGGGCAGCTCTTACTCTGGATTATTGTGGTAGGTACTTTTATCAATCTTGGGAATTTATGGAGAGCAAAATATTTATACACTGTAGATTAAAATTACCAATAAGAATCTGTATTTTAAGATTTTATTTGAACTTGGATCTGAGATTTCATGCAGTGTAAGTTTGAAAATTCAAAGTATGAGAATATGCTGGACTACCACGTGTGTTACTGTGGTCGTCAGCAACATCTTTCCGCCTAAATAGAGAGGGGCAAACAAGTTTTTAATCTGTTTCCCCCCATTCTTTACTTATATCAAGCTTTTGATAATGCAGTTACATTTCCAAATGTCAGCTGTTCTGGACAGCAGCAAAACACTGATGCAATAAGAGGTTATGACTAAGTAATATTTTGCAGACTTGCTCTGCCAGTGCTTCAAGTCAACAAGAAGTTGTGTGAACCTGGGAAGAGCAGTGCTGAGACATATTAGCTCAGCTGAGCAGTATGCTGACTTTATTTGCATATCCTGTGGCACAGCTTGCATGCAGCTTTCTGAAAACATTGTCCAGGCGTATCCTGAATTACCAAACCTGAGTCGTTAAAGGTTTTGGTGCACCAAACCGCTGTTGTTGAATAACCCCAGGGGCATTTGGGCACCAGATGTTTTTGAGGATCTGGGTCTGAGCAATCTCTAAACGAGTTTTGCCACTTGTTTAAAATGCACTGCACTTATGTTGGTAATACAGCATGTAGTCTAGGCTCTTTTGCTGTTCTGAAGTACTTCTGTAATTAATTAAGCCTTCCTTGAGTAGTAGTAATTTTTCCAACACAACATTGCTTTGAGGCTGTCACCAACAGTTCTGGTTTTAACATCAGACTCTATTGTGAATAGCGAGGCTGTGCTGCTGCAGAACTGTTTGTCAGTGACTTTTTCTTGAAGGGTCCTGGTCTGACCGTTTTTTGCTCAGACTTACAGACAAGCAGTAATGTGTTAGTCACAAATGTGAGGTCTTGGTTTGAGGCATCCAAAATGCGGAATCAATAGAGTACTCTGCATTGAAAAAAATTGTGTTCAAACTTTGCAGCATATTAAGCAAGGGAGTGTATGTTTCATAGAATTAAAAAAATGGGTCTGAGTGGATTAATGACAGAGTTGCAGCTCTGATGTGAAGTTCTAGTGTAGTGTATGTGCAGTGCATATTTATTTTGTCAAAATTCATAGATTCCAATAAAGCCAGAGGAAGAAAACAGACTTGTTTAGAAACAGGCAAAATGTTTGTATGAAGTTGCTGAGAGAATATAATCTGGGGATAAATACCATGGAGCATAAATTTTTCTTTTTAATACAAATTTCACAATCTAAGAGTAGTGATCTTTGCTTAGTGTATCAAAATGTTATTCAGCTGCGTGTCATGTACATCCCACAGCTGCACAACACTGATCACACAGGCACTATTGCCGTGCCAGCTGAGGGTTGTTTCAGTATTAATAGCCTGGACTTTATCTAAGTTTTCTTTGTTGGGCAACCTTCTAACAGGATGTTGAGTTTGCTTGAAGCCGTGAGCCTTTAAAAACTAAGATCTGTGTAGTAAATTCCTATCTACAGCCATAAGTAAACACTGGCTAATTGTTTTTTAAATTACCATACAGTGTTCTAACTGTTTACTAACAAAGTTAGAGTCTTCCTGTTATTCTTTTTCATCTTTGCATTGTTTTTGTTGCCTTTCCCTATGCCAAAATCTTTCCTACTTATCTCCAGGGGTTTGGGTTTGTTTGTTTGTTTTTTTTCTTTTTACTTCTGTTCTGGCTCATTTTGTAGTTATTCTCCTAGGATTGAAGTCTCAGCTGCCCTCATTTTGCTGTTCTGGCTCATTTTGTAGTTATTCTCCTAATCTCCTAGGATTAAAGTCTCAGCTGCCCTCATTTTACAGATGAGGAACTAAGAAATTGAATAATTTTTATGGCTCGGGTAGTTGATTGGACCTATATGATCTTCTAAGATCCCTTCCAACCCAAATCATTATATGATTAATTTCATACAACTATGGTAAATAGTAGAGTAAACATTCCTATCATTAAGTACAACAAAAGAAAGCCAATTCAATCCCTGTTGCAACAATGTAGAAGAAATCTGAATTGCCATAGAAACAGTCCCAATGAAGCCAGGTGTGTTGAGGTGCTGTGTGCAGTTTTCTCTATGTGAATGCATGTATTTTTCTAGGTCAAAGTTTCATACATTTATTTTCCCTCTTTTCCTTTTCTTTGCTTTTTAATTTCACAGTTATGCTAGCTGATAGTTATTTTTATTAAGAGTGGTAGACACGGTTCCTGTGTTAGAAGAGCTCTTAATTAAAAAAGGAAAAAAGATATTTTGGGAAATGTAGAATTACATAACTATGGATTTTTGATGATTGTGTCCCTTTTCTGGAAACCTCTTAGAGGTGTCTGACCCAATGGAGATTCTTTATTGTCTTGAAAATGGACAAATTATGCTTTTGAAGATGCTTCCAAGTCTTGAATCCTTCTATGTTACATGATTTATTGCTTTGAATTTAACCTTAATGCAGAGGCTGTCTTGAACTTAAACAGCCATGGCTGTATTGTAAGGACAAAACCAATTTTTTTGCCAATTCAGGTATAGGATGTAAGGGGTTCACTGATAGAAATTCCAGTGTGTATATATATTATATTCTATTCCAACATGAAAGAAATAGCTTCAAATATGTTTAGCACAAACATATTATGGAAGGATAAGGGAAAACTATTCCAATATGATATAAAAATAAATTACCTAACAGCTGGCTTCTTTTTCCTTCCTATCTAGGTGCTTTGGTCAAGCAAGCCTTATGGTTCTTCTCGAAGCATCGTAAGAAAAATTGGTACTAACCTCTCTCTTATACAGTGTCCACGAGTTCAGTTTCAGGTAAGTGTCCTCAACAGTTTCGAATACATGTTTCACTGTGCTGATAAAGGGATTTGCTATTGCATCAAAATATGCAGTTCATTTAGATAAATCACTACAAGGTTTGTACAAGCAGAATATGATAAACAAGGCACATAGGAGGATGAGTTTACTTCAGTTCTTCCCACTTCTAATTCAGATTTTTTTCCAAACGTGGATTCTTCAGCTTCTATACTATGTAAAACCTAAACCTGAATTGCTGTAACATGCATAATGAAACTTGAAACAAATTTTTTTCCTAAGGAAATTGGAACTTCTAAAATGAGGCAATACAGTATTAAAAAGTTATTATTGGAAAAAAATATATTCATAAAAGAGAAAAGTCTAAGTATTATAAAGTATTATTTATAAAGTATTTATAAGCTAGGCTGAAGAGGCATGTGAAGGTGAGCAGTGTAACTTAAAAATATTTGGGAAAATAAACAACTTTATCAGAAAGTAAAAAATTAGTAACAAGATAACATCACAACCCTGTTTGCTTTTGTTTTAAATACAAGACTAGCACTGTATAGGTGAAAGGGGAGCATTAATTTTGTACAGCTTTCTGACTTGTTTGCTTTTAACTTCCAACTGCATATAGTGGGAGGGGAAAGAGTTTAAGCTTAAGAAGGAGAAAACTCTTGCTTTTAATAACAAGTCTTTCAGGAACAGGTGGGAACATGGAAGCTGTTACACATAATCTTTTCAACACTGTGTGTGTTAGGGATAGGGGGTAGGTATGGAGCTGAAGAAATTTAGTGCTTGAAACTCAAGCTGAGAGGAATGTTTCTGGGGCTGAACAAGGGTGGGGAACTTAAAGGTGAGTGGTGGGAATCATCACCCACGCTAAGACAATGTAATTTCCACACAGCTAAATTTCTCACTGTTTACATTAATTTCTTTATCCTATATGAAATGTATGAACAATATTTAGACTTGAAATTATAGTAACATGAATATTTCTAGTGTTGAAATAAAAATATGTAAATGTCTTCATCTGAATTCTGTATTAGAATAAGCAAGATATTTGCTATTGTATCCTCTTAAAGAGACACTCAGTGAGCTTTGCTTCAATTTTGTGCACACCAAGTATAAACGTTCATCTTCTGTTAGATGAAAAGAAAGGATCCTAAACATAGAAGTACAGTTGTCATAGTTGATTGAATTTGAAATATGGATTTAAAAATTTGAGCCTTGAGATGCATTAATGTTTATATGGATTATGCGGGCTTTAAATTGTTTTAATATATAAACTGCTGAACATGTAAAAGTGCGATGCTAACATCTGTTTTCTGTGTCTTTATCTCAGCATTAAGGTTCTGTAGTGAAGTTCAATACCGTTCTCGATCGTTTTTATGCTGTTGCAACTGATGCTTTCCTGTAGCTGTCTCTTCCTTTTTCTTTCTTGCCAGCTTTAGCTATATTATGAAAGGACCATGCACTGAACCTTGCTGTAAGTCACTTTATTTAAAAAACAAAACAAACCTTACTTGCCTTATCCGAGGGTGCATGTTATCTTAAGAGCAACAAGCTTTCTACAGGTCTTCATTTTCCTTGTAATAAGTGGATAAGAGATATTGAAAGAATATCTCTTTTATTTTCATTCTTCCTTCTCTTCTAGCATGCTTTTGTTCTGCTAGTCTAAAACCAGAGTAGTAGCCTAACTTTTTGGTTTTTGTGGTCTGCTGATTTGTAGTACCTCTCTCTAGGGACTGTGCCATAGTCAACAACGTTTAAATTAATTGATAAATGCTGCTCATGCATTCAATAAGCAGTGGCAGAGCTTTCCTTGTATACTGCATATGGCATGAACAAATGAAAATTGTTCATAAATTTGTTTTGTATGTTGTGTTTTTAAGGTTATCTCTAGTCTTTAGGAGAAAAAAGTTAAACTTGCCCATGTAGCCTGGGTAGATTCAACCAAACCTGCAAGACTTGCAAGATAGAAGCCATCCTCCTCCCATGTTACCAATCCAGTGTCCTTCACCTCCAGCACCTGTTCTAGTCCCGTGCTTGTCCTTTTTGTCTGGTGTAAACCTGATAAGTGAATAGAAGTCTTCTCAGGAATAGGTGCACACGTAGCAAACATCAGAGTTTACTGAGCTAATATGAAAAATCACAGCAAGTTTGTCTTACCTGAAGAAGTATTTCCAGATGTTTAATACCTGACTCTATTAGTAATCTGAAATTAGAGTTTTATTCTATCCTTAAATGTACAAACCCTGTGGTTCTGCTTTCCACTTCCTGGAGAAAACAGAGGGTAGGATCCTGCCTGGACACCCTCGTGAGCAGTGTTTCCGTAGTGTAGTGGTTATCACGTTCGCCTAACACGCGAAAGGTCCCCGGTTCGAAACCGGGCGGAAACACTGGCAGGTCTGACTCTTTGGGAGTTGGAATCAATGCTTTTCTTATGGGTCCCTTCCAACTCGAGATGTTCCGTGCTTGTGTGACATCAGCCAAAACAGTACAGTGTGTGTAGTCTTTTCCTTCAGAAAGTCGTGGAGTGGTGGGTCTGAAAACCACAGGCACGTGGGGGAGCAGCATACATGCACACTGAAACAGGCAAAAAAGCCTGTGAAGGAAGAAGCAGGGGAAGCAACTATGTAGTTTCCAGAGACAGAAAAGCAGGCTGCTTTCACTGTTTTATTCAGTTCCTGCTGTCCAGCACGCTGCCTGTGCCTTCAGCTCTCTGTTCTCCATTTCAGGTGCTGGCAGAGCAGTTGTCCAAGTTTCTTTAGTGCGATTGGCTGGAGGAACAGGGTAGTCACAGAGTTGTTTAAGCGTCATCCTACAGACAGGCAAAGGTTTTAAGAGATAGGTGTTGGCTTTTAACCTTTAAGTTGCATTAACTTGAAATTTGAAATGCACTGGGTGGAAGGCCTTGTTTTTAGGGACAGAGAGAAGTAACATCTGTATATATGGGGTAACAAACAGACTCTATTTACCTATAAATATGAATAAAAAAGTAAGAAGAAACTTGCATCACAACATAACAGAAGGCTTGCTACTAAATGTTGTCTTAGAAGTTATTTATCTTGCGATGCAGGAAACCTGGCACTGGTAAATGCATTCCTTACTGTTGATTTATAAAATTATTTTTGATGCAAGTATGTGTAGTGCCTTTATTTAACTGTGCCTTCAATCTCTTCATGATAATAGTTCCTCATGTGGCCATTGCCATCGGGAAAATCTGTATCACCAGCAAGAAGTGGCTGATGTATTATGGATTTTTAAAATTGCCATTAACATTAGTACAGATGCTGTGGTCATGACAATTTATTTTTATTTTAAAAAAGAAAAAAGCCAAGGAAACCTCAAACAATGAAAATCCTAACGTGCAATATAGTATTCTCTAGACTGTTTTAAAGAGGGGCAGACTGTGATGGTATTAGGCACAACTGTTAATGTGATGAACATATTACCATCTGTGCTGATGCTACCTGGAAAAAACCTTGTTGTTTCCAAATGATCTGATGGTGCCAATACACACTCCTGGGAGCTGTGATAAAGGCTCACATACAAGTTGTGAGAGTGTGAGGTGAAGATGACTAATCTCGATTTCCAAAGCTGTTTGTAACAAGTCCTGGGGAAAAAACAACCCCAAACCCACAACTTTTATCTTCCTGGGACTTGTGTATCAAAGGCTACAACTGAAATATCCGTGATGTTCTTCAGAAGTGGTTTCACCTCATCCAGACTGCAGTCCTACCGTGATAGGTCTGCCACAAATTCAGGTTAATGCTAACATTTCGTAGTTGCTGCTACATAATAGTTTCCTCTTACAGAGTGAGTTGCCTTGAAAATTAAGCGCTAATAGGCTGGGTCAAAGCCAAAGCCATCTTCACAGACTGTTGCATGCTACTGCCATCCTTGTCAGTATTACTGGCTTCTTGGCCACCACCAGCAGCAGGCAGCAGTTAAACAGCTGCAATGGCTCCTGCAAGTTCAGCGTGTGGCTTGTATGTCATACAGGCAAAAGGGGCGGCATAGCTGCATCCGAGTGACATAACTCGAGGTGATGGATTGAGCAGAAGTTACTGAAAGACCTTTCAGTAGCTTTTGTCTGCTAAGGTTCTGAGACCAGGCTGCTCCAGCGACTGAGTAGACGTGCCCCTGTCTAACCTGAGGAAGCAGCCAGTATTTCAGAGTGGATTCGAAACCATTTTATATAGTTGTGGCTATGGAGCATGTATTGATGGTCCAAACAGTTTTTCAAATCTCCGTTCAGGTCACTTAACTGTAAACCTAGGAGAGGTTGTAGTATCTGGAGCCTGGCTCACCTTTGGCTTCAAACAGCTGTGAAGCTAATGACAGAACCGTGCTGGAGAATGGTCGGTTTGTTGGGCGTGCTGTAAATGAGATTGTTGGCTAACAGTGTATTCCTTATGGCTGCATCCTACCTCTCACTCAAAGTCTTTGCAATTACTGAGCTAGTAGAAATGGGTTCTCCCCTCCACCACCCTGCTCCATGCAATGTACACACCTTTATTCTTGTACAGAAATTCTGTAAGTTGTAGGGGAAGGGAAATGAACTTAACAGAATTTCACTTTCAGAATAATACTAAATCAGAGCAAAAGACTTGAGAAGCACAAGAAGCATGAGTAGCCTTAATTATTTTTTTAACTACTAGTCATTAGTATAATTTAAAAACATATTATTTGAGTTAATACAGCAAACTACTTGAGAATGTTGATGTTTGTCTTTAAGACAACAATTTGCATTGGATTTTCAGTGCTCAGTAGTGTCATGTGATAGTATATGTAGTTAGCCATCAACCTTAAAAACAAATATAGTTTCTGTAAAGTGTTCAGCAGACTAGATTGAATAGTTTTTGAAGTCAGTGAAATAGGTTCTGGACTAAACCCAGCACAGAAATAAGTGTGCTAAGTCTACACATGTGTTTTGTGCATGTATGTGGTAATACTTACATTGTAGCCTTGCTAAAAGTTTTAACTGACATGGCTGGGAATAGTAACTCTAAAACCTTTATCTTGTCTTTAAAATTTAGCTTACTTCTCATGCCACAGAAGGAAACCATCCTAATCAACTTAGAGAAGATGCAGTGGCCTCCTTTGCAGATGTGGGATGGGTTGCTCAAGAAGAAGGTGAAGTCTCTACAAGGCTCAGGTATGCTCCTCACATCTTTGAGCTTTTGAACCGAGAGGAAGAGGCCTTGCTTCTCTCCAGTGAGAATCTACTGTGCATTGCAATTAAATGCTGGGAGAAGAGAGGGGGAAGAGTGATAGAAGAGGTAGGATCTGGAAAAGAAGGAGTAGAGGTTAGACTAACAGGATTATGAATGAAAGACTGGTTTGAGAACATATAGGAGATTGACTTTATACAAGGAAGACTGTGTTTTTTATTTACTTATTTATTGCATGTGACAGCTTCAAGCAACCTGTCCCCACAAAAATGTTTGCTGTGGTGTGGCACAATTGCTAATGCGGGTTCTCCAGTTCTCCTGATATTTTAATTAACATGGGGTGGTGTACTGTGCAGCTTCCTAATTAGTAACAATGGTCATTCTGACTATCCAGTAATTGGCACGTTGTTTTACACCTTTCTGGTTAAGGCTCTGCAGTCTGCTAAACACAATAAAAAAATTATGGTTTATATTTTGTCTTTAATCTTCATAATGAAAACTGGCAGGGAAGCGTGTGAGCACCTGTGCCCAGAATGATGGGGATAGGTACTGTTGTGTTGGACCAAGAGTGCTACACAGCACTGTAGCTGCACAAAACAGCTTAGCTGAAGTGATGAAGTTCTCTGATCCAACCTACCCAAATTGCTGCTCAGACTTGCCAGAAACAAAGGTGCAGTTCTGTAGCGCAGAGGAAGTTTTTCTTCTAAATAAACTAACCTTGCAGAGAAAGGCACAGACAGTTGGCTTCAGAGGTTACTGTAGGATACCATTCTTAACTGGAAAGTGCAAGGTAGGTTAGTAATGACATAGATGCCCTGCAACGTGACTTGCCACAGTGAAGTTTTGCATAACAAACATTCTGGTGCTGCCACATTAATTTCACAAACTCAGAGGAGACTCACAGAAATCAAGGCTTGTTTGGGAAACACGATTTGTAAAGTGTATTTGATGCAAAGGAAATTAACTGGCTGATACTAGTCTTGCTTGCACAGAAACATTTTGTTCAAGGATTGAACTGTAAAGCTATTTTGCTTAATGGAGACAACAGGGAGAATAGCTCTTTGTTGCTTCAAAGAACCTGTTATGAAAGATATATGACTTGTATATTTGCTGAGATGTCTGCATGTGAAGGGGGAAAGGGGGACAGATGGATGTGGGATGGGACTAAAATAATCCTGCAGATATATAGTGACCTTAAGGCAGACACTTATAACGGAGCATGGTAAGTGAATTACTTAGCAAATACGAGTGTTTCATTGTGCACCATTTATTACGTCTGTGCACCGTATTATGTGGTGGAGCTAGTATGCATTAGGTGTTTTCCAGGCATTTCAAATTCTCTGTTTCAACAGGATCACATAGGTGTTACTGTTAAATACATATTCACTGTATAATTCAGTAAACAGTTTTGCAGACATAATTTTTTTCTGTGAATGCAGTTTTATAGAGGAAGCAGCTAAATGACAAATCATTTTTCCCCCATCTCTAGTCAGAGCAGTAGTGACAATTCAGGCATAATATTTTTCCACAGCATTAGATTCCAGTCAAGACATTTGCTTATAACACCATTAAGTGCTCTGAGCTGAAAATGCCCTTTGTTGTTTTAGCTATTCTGGTCTGTCAAAGAGTTTCTAGAAGGCAGGTTTTCAGGAGCAAAGGGACCACTGGCTGGCTCCTTCCACCTTATTTAGGGACAGCAGGGAGATGGCTGCTATGGGAAGCATCCTGTTCTCAGCTTTAGTTGCTCTTTATTCCCTCTAGATAGCAGCACCTAAATTTTAACATCCTTGATAATAGTCAGTTCTGCTTGATCAAAATTCTGCAAGTTGTGCTGATGTTTTTCGTCAGTGTTGTGGAAGGTTCAAATGTGTATCTAATCCTGGATTGAGGTGGTCAGAGCACAGGGCTTGTTCTAACCTTAAATTTTGGCTCTTGCTCCAAGTCTAGCACAACTGCACATGCACATCCAGAGTAGCTTAACCCATGCATCCAGGGCTGCATGGAGCTTTTAAGCTATATTAGTCTGGAGCCATTCTACACATTTTGAAAAGTCCTATCCACTGTTCTTATTCTCATGTTTGAATAAATAGTGGAATCCTGCCTGAAAAGTTTTGGGATTGAAGTTAAGGAGGATTGAGGAGTTAAGTGTATGGTCATATTTTGCAGTTATAATGCTTATGATCATCTATTGTCATTAATCCTTATCAATTCTACTTGAGTTAAACTGCTTAAAAATGTTAGTGTCTTCAGTGAATACAACCTTTTGTAAGTGCTTATTTGACTGCAGATGCTCAGTAATGCCTCAGTGTTTAACAAAGCTTCAGATTTGGTGGGTAGTAAAGGAAGGCAACAGAATTGCATTTTCTTGCTCTTGTGAGGAAAAGGAGGGAACTTTTGGAATTTTTAAAACTGTATGAAGTTTTCTTCTCTTTAGTTTTATTTATTGTGTTAGAAAACTAGATATAAGACCCTTTCCCCTTTACTAATAAGCAGCCTCCGTGCCACTAAGCTGTTTCACGTACTGAGTACTCACAACACTGGTAAAGTAGAGGACTGTCACTTCAGAAGTCCAAGCAGTGTACAGACATGTGCTGTGGAGCTAAGAAACTCTTCCTCCTTCTTCAAAGGAATCAACTACAAGTGACCATTTGCAGCCTGTGGGGGAAAAATGGGAGCATTTGGGGGGGAAAAAAAAAATCTTAATTCCAACAAAAAATACAGTTAAGTATGAGGCAGAGAAATAGATTGGGAGTGAGGGGGAAGGTATTCCTGTTTTTCTTCTGAAATCAGGGATTCTACAAAAAGCTGGCTAGGGGAAGAGAAAAAAATCAGCTCATGCCACAGACTTTAGTGTAAGCTGTATAATGCCTTGGTGGAAGTAATTTGTGTAAAGCCAATTTTAAGGTCAGGCCTTCAGCTTTTGTTCCTGGTTTGTATGTAACGGTGCTTTAGTTTTTATCTCTAACAAAGCCTTTAAAAAAGAAATCCTGTGATATTTTTGTTACAGGTCAGAAGCTTGGTCAAAACCAGCCCAGCCTCTTCCAGGTGAGCTGCATCATTCGGGAAAGTCCCCATGCAGACAGAGGTCCTTAGAAAACCCGTCAGAAGAAGAACCGGCATCCAGGAGCATGGTGACCGCAAATGAAGAAGCTCTGCAGAAGATCAGTGCTCTGGAAAATGAACTAGCCACTTTAAGAGCACAGATAGCCAAAATTGTAATCTTGCAAGAACAACAGAACCTGACAATAGGTATTAAATTTGCTGTACTCTTAGCACAAATCAGTCAATGAATTTGTCCCTTTTATAATTAATAGTGTACTAATTAATTTTTGTGAGGTACTGCGACACTGAACACTTCTCCGTACTGTTTTGGTTAGTTCGTTAGACAGACACAGCCTACGAACCGAGGGATACAGAATAGGTCTGGAAGACAAAAGACTTGACAGATTTTCAGTATTTGGTAGTATTTCAAAAGTCTCCATGTTTGTGTGAAAGTCTGCCAAAATTCTGAATCTGTGGATGAGTAAAGAAGTTATTAAACAGCTCTCAAAGCAAAGCTCGTGATAAACATGATGGTTTAAACCAAACTAAAAAAATGGAACTTAATTACTAACACTTAAGTTTTCCCATCCAGTAATGAAATAGGCTGTCTGATACCGTGAAGTAATCATGCAGGATGCTAATGGAATGCTTTTGGAATAAGCAATATACATCTCAAGTTTGAGATAAATAATAGAAAAGGAGATGAATTGTTTACTGGAATCATCTCTGGGATCAGGCAGGTTGTCCAGATGAAACCAAAAGTGGTGCACTGTTTCTGGTAGTAAACAGAGTAGTTCTTTTCCTGAGTTTCTTTCTCCCCTTTCCCTCACCTCTGAC